CTTACATTGTCAATGTTTGGAAAAAACTGGTATTCATAAAGAAAGAAAATGCCCACTTGGTGCAAAATGTCTTTCTTGTTTAGAGATTAAATCTTAGGCTTACAATGGAAGTGTTCTGCTAAAAGAGGAAGTGAGGTCATACATTCATATGAGTGCTGGGAGGGCGCCACAGGCACGAAGCAGCACAGGTCATGTTGGTTCACTATGTGAGATGACAAAGTATATCACACAGATACGTTTATATTTATCAAAATAAAGTTTTGAAGAGCACCTCTCATTTATTAAGGAAAGCAAAAATTATCTATAACAGAATTGTTTTAAGTCAGGCAGGTTATCAACAGCCACTGCATCTGAAGCAGGTATAAGTCCAAAATTTAACTAGGCCACTCTACAAGTTTCTTTTTTAGTCATGGAAAGGTGGATTTCATGGTGTGCTTTGGATCATTGTCCTGGCTGGACATTCTCCTTCAGGATTCTCTGGATCTTGAAAGCAAAGCAGTCCCAGATCATCACGCTGCAATCAGCATGTTTCCCTGTCAGCATATTGTTGTTGTTTTTTTTTCTTTTTGAAAAATGCTGTTAGTTTTACACCAGCTGTAACAAGAATGTAACAAGAAGTCCACTCTCCAGAAAGTTTGACTTTTGTCTCTAAAGTCCTCAGATTATTAAAATAATTTCAGATAATTGAGAATCTGTTTTTGGCAAATGTGAGATGTTTTTTGTGTTCATTTGCAATTTTGTCTTGAAACTCTTCTATAAAGCCTTTTTTTTGCCCAGTTTCTTTCTTACTGTTGAATCATGAACTTAGCTAAGGCCTGCAGTACTTTAGATGTTGTTCTGGACTTTTATAATCTCATGTATGAGTTGTTAATTCACTCAGAGTCATTTTAGAGGGCCAACTTGTTCCATGAAGGTTCACCACTGTTCCAATGTTTGCTGCTTTTGTAAATAATGGCACTCACTGTGATTCACCAGAGACCAAACTCTTAGAAATGGCGTTGGAGCATTTTCCTTTCTGTTTTTTGAACTTTTACACTACCTCGTGTCATCAGACAGGCTCTGTTTAAGTGATTCTACAGGCTAGACAGCAATCAAGCCTGGGTGTGACTAGTGAAACTGAACTCAGCTTTCAAAAAATTTGCTTATTTACAGTTAATTCTTGGTTTCACGAGGCACATACACAGCACCAGATTGGTTTGGACAGGCTTTCTTTCTTCTTAATGCATAGCCATTTAAAAATTGTTCTCTATTTGCACAAGGTGTATTTGTGGAACACTGACGTTTGTCTGATGATATGAAACATTTAAATATGACAAGAAAGCAGAAGAAATCTGTAAGAGGACAGATACTGTTTTCTCAGCCCATCCAGCCTGAGGAAAATGTGTGAGACCCACACACTCATAATCTCTACAATTATAATCATGAAACAACTTATTACAGTTGTGATGGTGCATACTCTGTATTTTCTCATGCACAAACCATGAGCAGCAGCTCCTGGGGTAAACAGTACTATATATTCAGTTAATCAATGACATATGTCTGTGTAAAATGTAGATAAACAGATATGTTAAAATGTCCAGACTAGTGCCTGCCTCCAGCGATCATTGAGTTGGGACGCATGCGGACAGGTTGCCAGTTACATTTACCACTTACAATGGAAGCTCTCTCCTATGAGCAGCTTAGTAACCAATTAACCAATAATTAATTGGTTAATAGTTTTTCGACTGTGGATGCCGGGGTTCCGAGCCAGAACACACACATGCTTATGGAGAACATGCGAACTCCATGCAAGAAGACCTTTGGCATCAATTTGAAACCAGAACCTTCTTGCTGCAAGGATCAAAATCCTCTATACATGAAGCGAAACGATGTGAATGCTTTAAATGTAGACATCAAATGTAGGCATCTCTTGTTGAGTCTGTTTTATAAAATAGATGCATTGCATGACTTTTAGTAATCTGGAAACCTGGGAGACTATTCGTTATAGTAATTTAGTAATGCTGTTTGGCAATTTGATATTTCCCCTTTCATGTCTGATATAGAATTGCATTCACACAACAGGATATTGTTAGGGTTTCTTTTTTCTGATGCAATGTGTCAAATGTTGTGTCGCCATTGCAGATTTGGATGTTGGGAGTAGAATTTTGAGGACTTAATCTAACATCTTAACTAAATATAATATGGAATAAGAAACTTTTTTTCACAACTAGTCTATAATATGTTGCATAGAAAGATTAATACCAATCCATTTACTTTTCATTTTTTCATCTGGAGTGTTGTTTACTCGTTACCATTTTTAAGCGAATCTAGAAAACGATAAAGAATAAAGCAAACCACTTCTTCCTGTTGTAATGTTTACATGGGAAGGCATCCTCACACTGCAAACTGCAGGAATAAATAATCTTCATTCTGACACCAATGTTTCTGAGTTCAGCTCGTCATAATCACGTCTCAGTTTACAACCTCTGGTTCTTTGGGTTTCATTAGTGTGTTACTTTGCTAACACCAACATAACTAATACCAAGTGAAATCTTTAACTTCACAGATCTTCTTTTCCAACTCAACAGGTTTCTTCTTATATTATAAGAATTTGAATTTCTGCTGGCGGCTCTGTGATTTAAACAAATACTGTATGTATTACTGGTGAAGATTGGGGATTTTTGTCCCCGGTCTTTTGGGACTGTTGAAAGAATGGTGAAACTCTTGCTTTCCGGTCCTGTGTGCTTTCATATAAAATGTGTTGCTCAACTTCCCCTTGAGGCCAGCTACCCATGCAGGCACTAATCACCCGCCTTGTAGTCAGGCACTTCAGAAATGCCTTGAATTATTTGTGGATATTTGAGCAAAATGACAGATTATCGATCACTTTCAAAAATCCTGATAAGTAGTTATAAAATTTGCAGAAGAAACTGAGATAAACAGTGGAAAAAGTAATGGAAATATTGGTAAACATGACTAAATAAATGTTATCTTCACCTACTTTAAGTCTCAGTTGATTTGTTTTATATAGTTTCCTAGATCTGTTTCCCGATCAGCTGGTCTGCTACCAAAACTTACATAATTCCTTGAATCTGTGCAGATCTCTATAATCTGGTTTGTTTTTATGTGTAAGGGTGTTTTCCTCAGCTACTCACCAGCACCACATTGAAGCGCTCCTCCAGCTCCTCTTCTGGGGGCATTGGAAGTTTTGGTGAAGAAGATTGCTTCTTCTGTAAAGGCAGTGTGGGGTCGCTCATCGCCGAAACTGAGTTCCTGGCCTCTCTGCCCTCGGCCGCCTCTAGCTCCAAGCCCCCTGCGGCCGCATTCCCCATCACTAATCTCCACAAGTAATCCAGGAGGAAAGCTGTACACAAGCCAATTCACCTGAAAAACCAGACTGTTCCACAGCAGAGTAGCGAAAGGTGATCACTCCAAATGACAAGAAAGAGAGTCCTGGGCCTTCAAGGTGATCAACATGAAGTTTCTGGCTCACTAAAATCTTGCTTGTCCAGATGACACAAGAAGTGAAGAAAAAAGTTGGGTTGTCCTCATGTTTGCTCTCTGATTAACATCTCTAGATACAAGATAAAAAAAACCCAGTCAGGTCCTGACAGAACTGAGAAATAAAACCTGGATTGTGTCTCACCAACTATCTGCACTGGTTGAAAACGTCTCTGCAAAGTAAAACTCAGAGGCCTGTGTGTGAGAGGAAGGAGAGGGAGTGTGATACACTCTGTAGCTAAGTCAGAAACCACAGAAGCACAAAAGCAGAAGAGCAACTTCCTGTGTGACAGCAACAGAACCTGGTCTAGAGGACAGGGTGGAAGATAAATGTGGCAACCGTTAGTAACATGCATGAAATAGGTGGATGATTAGAAAAAGAAAAGTACAGTGTGGTGGTGGCTCGAAGATAAGATATGAAGTTAGTTTAATGAAGTTACTACATTAGCAGTTGCACTTGAAAACTTTAACACAGTGGGAAACTGCCCCCAGTTAGTGGTGAAAATATTTGCACTGGAGCCGTTTATTTCCCCAAACTTATGTTTATATATGATTAAATTACCAGAGTCCTTCCTTAGACGATTGCTAGCCAGGTAAATAAAGATGACTTTGGAAAGAATGATAAAAAAGCGCCTCCGCGTGGTAAAATCAATTGTTGCATTAACTGTGGCGCATTTAGGGTCATTGTATGTTCGTCAGTGTCAATCTGTTTGAATTTTATGTATTCCTATTGAGTAAATAGATTAATTAATGCTATTTAAAATTGACTTCAACTACCTGCTACCACTTTTAAGTATCTTATTGTGTGTGCTGCACATGAACTGAAAGCATAAAAGCTGACGTCGAGTCAAACCAACTTATTGCAATATTTGCATCAGCCCTCACTGTTTATTTATTTGAGACGGCTAAGCTTTCTTGAACAGCCTTTAGATCTGGATTTTTTGTTGTTGTTGTTGCTATTTCCAGAGGCGCACTTGAAAGCAGTCTTGGTACTTATTCATCCTTCCAAAATGACGAAGTTGTGTTTTACTATATATTTGCTGGGTAATTTAATATACTGTATTTACGTCAGACAAAGGAAGGTAAATGTTGCAAGTGTAATGAAACAGTGCCTCTATGTGGCAAAAGTCAGCAAAGGCATGTAGTGGTGTTACCTTTAGAGTCCACTTTGTGATAGGAATTTATCATTATCAACCTCAACGTCAAATATTTTGCGCTAGTGTTTAAAAGACAATATTTAAAGTATGATATAATGAATAGTAGAATAAATATTTATGAAGTAACTTGTTTTACCTGTCGTTGCATTCAAGACTTTTTTTTCCACCTGGCTGTTCCATCCAGATAAATCATACCTACTATACTTATGTCTTCTACAAATGAACGGAAGAACTCATAGCTTGAGTAAAGTAGGGTTGCATCTGCAACAGGTTGACATCAATGTTCACATTTTTGAAATGTGACTTCAATCTACTGATTAACGTTTAATTTTTGAAATATTTAGGCACTTTTACTTTCATTTTCTGAGCAGCACCTGAAGGCAGCCACGCTATTAGTTTATTTAGCATTCCAAAATGACGGATCCGACTACGTCTCCAGAGGACCACTGGAAAGTAAGTCTCTGTTAAAGACCACTTTCGAGCTTCTCGCTCATTGTATTTTACTGTGTCATCTGTAATGTTTAATAAACTCGAAATGCTGAAGTTTGAACGGCGCTGCTAATGTAGCGTTAGCTTCATCACGTTCAGTAACATTGGAACAGATGGCTAACATGTTAGCAAAGTAAACAAAACCGTCCAAACAGAGAAACTCGTGTTTCTTAACTAATATTCTTTGTCTTGTGAATTGGCTTGCCTTCCATAAAGAAGAAAACAATTAATGCGTTAAACTATATTCAAAATATCGATTTTAAGTGAAGTTGAAAGGCTTTTTAAGAGCTTCGTCATGCTTGATACCTTTCAGTATCCGTCTCACACCAAGTCGTTTCTTTGTGAATATTACTGTATCCTTTCTTATAATCTAATATTTCTATTTCATTTATATTTAACTGAGCATTGCTGATGAAAGAATGTTGTTTATAGACCTTATATTAATGAAATTTGAGAAATCTGAGCCTTGAATTGAGTTTTAAACCTATTTTGTCAAACAACATTCATTTTTAAGGGAACTCTTAACAGTAGACAGTGTTTCTCAGGGTTTTTTTTTTTTTTTTTTCCACCATACGCAGTGGAAAATCTGAGCTAACACAACCAGGCAATAAAAACCCATTGTGTTGCGTTGCCCTACATCCAGCAGTAAAACCTATTTGACACATCGTTTATCTTCTGTTGTACTTGCAATGGACAAATCAGGCCGTTGCTCAGTAGGGGGGTTTAGACTGGCTTGTTGTTGCTCTTTTGTCAACGTATTTAGGACAGCACATATTTTCCTCTTGTCATTTCAACCTCACACTCTACATTTTATTTCTTCTTTGCTACTTGGTGATGGCCGGGCAGACAGACGGGGCTTTCAGCGACAATGGCTTTGACACCAGTGAGTACTTCTTACAGGACTTAACTCATCTTTTCTCTGTGATCTCTTGTCTCTCTTGCTTTTAATTTTCTCATAACTATTGTTTTTTGTTACTCAGGTTTCTTCACTGATACTGCCAGGAAAGGTAGCATTGTGTCCAGGGCAAACAGTATCGGCTCCACAAGTGCCTCTTCAGTTCCAAATACAGGTATTGACTTTTTAACAGATAACATTTTTTCTTACAGCTATTTACGGTCCATGTGTGATATGTTTAGAGTTGCACAGTACATCAAATAGTCTGGGTTCCTGCCCAGTCTTGGAAAAATCAGAAAATGCATAGAATTAATTTCAGGTCTGGATACCTGTGGTAAAAATATAAAGTCTGATTTTCCAGACTTGCATAATTTGAATGTTTTTTAAGACTAACATCTAGTAATGCTCAATACACACAGTGGGTGTACATGAATTTATATAAAAGGGGCATGCTTAACTTTGATATACCAAATGAGGTCTTGCTTTTAAAATTTTACCCATCAGAATTTTGGTTTTTCATTTACTGAATGAAATGAAATGCTCTTTCATAAATCAGTCAATAATTTAGTATATTGCTTGGTTTGATTGGCATCTGACAACTCTTGAAACAGAGCAGATCTGAAGTCAGTTCAGATTCCACAATAGCGCTGCCTTAAATAGTCTGGAACTAGGAAGCCAATTTTAGCATTGTGTTGATCATTATTTGTGTAATTTGCAGATAATAAAACTTGACAACTACAGGGTTAGTTTATTCTTGTCATAGGTTTCAAAATAAACACAAAGTCGAAGTTTATTATAGCAAACTCGGACTACGAATATTGAAGGTTTAGCTTATTATATCCACTATTTATTTTTGTCAATAATCCAAAAATTAAAATATAAATATGCAAAATCTGAACAAAAAACTCAATCCTTCATTTAATAAATATGCCAAGAAAAAAAATCCCTGACCTTAGCTATCAGAGCTATCTATACTACAGACATGTTTCCATAATAAAAATGAATTTGTTCCCTAACAGATGATGAAGACAGCGACTACAGGCATGAGACGTCGTACAAAGACTCTTACAAAGACCGAAGGAGACAAGCACACACACAAGCTGAGCAGAAGCGCAGAGATGCAATCAAGGTGACTTCACATCAGGATCCTTTTTTTTTTCTGCTGTTATCAATTATTCCACATATTATAGAAGTTTCTAATTTTATTCCCTCATTCTAACACCAGAAAGGCTATGATGACCTGCAGGGAATTGTTCCAACCTGCCAACAGCAGTCCGAGTTTGCTGTCGGAGCACAAAAGATCAGCAAGGCTACTATCCTTCAGAAAAGTAAGCTGTAGCCAACACATACTTTATGAATTGTGAGCCAATGTGTCTTGATGTATTCAGAAAACAATTTCTGTTTGTGCTAAATGTAGTTTCACCCCTAAACCTACCATGTTATTGCTAAAGAAATAAAACAAAAACTGGTGCTTTGTTCAGCCTTTTGTAATTTTTTTACAATAATATTTCAGGGGTCAATAATAGTACTTGCATTGTTGTTGGTTGTTAAGCTCTGATTGTATGCAGCAATACCTTTACAACCAAAATGACTGAGTTTTTATTGTAGATTTTATCCTCCATAATAAATACTTTTGGAGATTGTTATTTTAACTTCTTGAACTGCATTCCTGAAATAAATTACCTTTTTGACGATGATGCTCTGATGGGAAAACCATTTTTTTTTTCTTAGTTGCACACCTTTTTCTATACTGAGTTTTAAAATTATTGCTTTTTAATTGAATTCAAGAGTTAAAAAAGAGCATCAAACAAAAGAAGTCATATAGAAATCTTGCTGAGTTCATTTATGAGAAATGAAAAGGGAGAAGCAGCATCGTCAACAACTCATAATTGACGTCCCAGAGCTGTGCCAAGATCTGTGACGAATGCATGTTTGTTTTATTGTTTCAGCAATCGACTACATCCACTTTCTTCATAAAGAAAAGAAGAAGCAAGAGGAGGAAGTTTCTGTCCTAAGGAAAGAAGTGATGGCCTTGAAGATCATGAAAACGTTAGGAAGTGGTTTATATCTTTTTTATTTTTTGCAAAAATAAAATCTTCCTTCATCTAGAAAAAAAGAAGACATAAAGTCCTGACTGCCACATGAGTTTGGATTTAAAAATAAATATTGATCATGAGGAAAGGGGGGACATCTATTTGGCTTTGATTGCAATTAATCTCCTCATTGAAAAGTTTAAATCCTAATAGGATTTAAAAAAAAAAGAGAAAATCTTTATGTTATCCCCACACAGAAGCTGCAGCTGTTTACTAAATTGGAAATAAGATGTTTGTTTCCTTCCAGGAACTATGAGCACATAGTGAAGGCCCACCAGAACAACCCACAGCAGGGAGAGGACCAGGTCTCTGACCAGGTCAAGTTCAACATCTTCCAGAACATCATGGACTCGCTCTTCGTGTCTTTCAGTAATTCTGTTTCAATGAGCAGCTTCCAAGAACTGTCTGCCTGTGTTTTCAGCTGGATCGAGGAACACTGCAAGCCACAGGCAAGGACTCTTATGGATGGATGCTGCACAAAGCAAAAACGTCAATCTGCAGAGGGAGTGACCATGTTTGTGTGCTTTTTCTCTCCTTTTTCAGACGCTGCGGGAGTTTGTTGTCGGAGTGCTCCGGCAGCTCAATGGCCAGCTTTATTAGTTGAGGAGAAGCCTCTGGCTAACTTCCAGAAATTGACTTTTAACTTGCTCTTGCCTCCCAGGATGGAATTAAAACTTCAATCTGCCACAGTCCTCACACTGACTTCAGCTCATCAGAGATTCCTGGATCGTTATTAGATTACCTCGTCAAACGCTATGGGGAGAGATGAAAGGTTGCCTTGGCTTGAGCAGTTAAGTAGGGATGCCTTGTGACCTCTTTACTGTTGGGAATTTACATCTCTACAGCATATTTTTTGCTCCATCTCAAACTTCTAAGGAACGCAGAGAAAACAAATTTTTAAGCGAAACGTGGCGTGCAGAGAACATCTAGTTATAATTTCAACAAAGCACAGAAAACGGAACGTATGAATGAAAAGCTTCCTGCAAAACAGCACAGGAAGTAGTGTCTTATCAGGTCCTCCTCCCAAGTTTGCCTAGTTTCATAATCTAAATGGTAACCATATATATATATAAACATGTGTGCCTACAAATAGATGCTCATATCAAGTCAGTTATTCAGTTCAGAGCAAATGTACCTGAGACACCGTGAGGAGAAATCGTTTATTTGACGTGAATGAAGTGATGGTGATGTTTCTGCCGCATCTTAATTAATAGAGTAAGAAAGCAGAACGGTCACAGCTTTTCTTCTGTCTCGTCAGTTGGTGACCATGTAGCTGGATTCTGAACGAGAGCTTTTCGTGCTGCTGCGCACAAACGAGTCACTCCTGAAATTTGTTGGATTGTTGTGAGCATTTCAAGCTCTTCTCTGTTTTCAGGAGCATGCCATATGGTGCCTCAGAATTTCTATCACTGATGCTTGCTTTGAATTAACTCTTTACTGTGACAGAGCTCCGTGTTTAAATAAGCGTAGCTTTATGATGGAGGGGGGGGGGGGGGCAAAAAAAAAAAAACAATGAAAATTTTAACCCCCTGGGCCCCAGCCCAGGGAACGA